ACTCTCTCTCTCTCTCTCTCTCTCTCTCTCTCTCTCTCTCTCTCTCTCTCTCTCTCTAGACATGCACGCACACACACATCTAAAGTTTGTCTGGAGATGTAGTTTCGGTGTCGAAAATCTTAATATGGCTTGAAAATCTATTTTCATCAATAATTGTAAAATTTAAAATTCTAAAAATAGCATAGATCAAGCAGATATGTAACTACTTAAAAATCTTGAAGTCGACGGTCCAGATAACTTATTATAGAAAGCACTATTTTTAGGACTAGAAATTCATGTTTTTTATATTCAGACATCTCAAGGTCGAGATGATCAATTGAATGGTTTTTAAACATCGGAAACACTCTTTTCAGAGGATTTTTGAGGTACGCATTATGTGAGAGAGAGAGAGTTTTGGTTTCTCATTATTCAAAACACCTGGTACTTTCATAAATCTCATAAAAAAAATATGCCAATCTCCTTGGGCAAGGGAGTCTTTCTTCACCCATGAGGTGACATTTTTCTAGTTTCCTTATAAAATTCACACATATGTGCATGTGTCGTAGTTGCAACAATATACACATGAATGTATATCTTAAGAATTCCCATGTGAGTTTGTGTAGGTGTACACACGTAAATGTACAATCATGGGGCAAATTACTTAATAAATTTGCTTCTTTAAATCATCTTTATGTGAATATCTTGCAACAACTGTTCATGGACGTCACTGATGAGCACAACAAATTTAATTGCAAGAAAAACTAGTTAACTCTTCTAAATAATAATAATAATTAATTGCATGCAAAACACATATAACAAAGCAGGTGCTAAACAGACTAATGATAAATATTACATTTTTCATAAAATAATGAAAATTACTATATACATGCAGGTCTTATTATCAATAAATTAGATACCTGCAGTTCCTGCAACTGTCTCATTAGGTCATCGATACTGAACCCAACAGTTTTTGCTAACGTGGGTACATCAAACACATACTGTCCTTGCGTAGCTTTTGCACTGAAAATTTTCACTTAACAAAGCCTCAAGGTCAGATTCCATATGCATTTAGAGGTTGCTAGAACCTACAAGAAATTAACTATAACAAGTCTACCTACATTTTCAAAATTCCTGAAATAATAATGTGCTTTCTTGAGAGCAAGCTTGAGGAAGTCTGTCAACAAAGTAAAAAGGAAAACAAAAAGTGAACTTCAATTACCATGATGACTAATATACATATGATTAAATGTGTGTGTGCGTTTGTAATAACATGCTCATTATTGTCTGTCCAAACATGTTAGAAGGACCAATACTTTCTTGTGACCAATATATTTATTTGAAAAAGGTTATTTATAGGAACAATTGCTTAAAAAATGCAACATTTTCTTGAATACACACCTTGTGAAAACATAGAGTACAAGTGGCATTTAGTTGAGGAAGCATGCGAAGGTACTGCACCTCCCCAATATCTAAATACGTTAGGATGGTAATCATTACCTAGCAACAAGAGCAACTATGTTAATGGGCTAAAGATAAGATGTTCGAGAAGTAATCACATAAGTGACACATCAAACTACACATAATTGTACTAATTTTCCAATAAATGGTACAGCTAACAAAACTATTTAGCCTCAAGCAATATCAACTATTCAATTAGGGCAGGTCAAGAGTTGGGTATCACGCTAGAAATCGATTCTAGGGAAAGGGCATCTGATAGAATTGCCTACCATCACAACATCGATCCCTACATAAATTTTACATTTGAAGCTGCATTGGTGCCACATTCCAACAAGGGGAACAACTTCCAAGGAGAATAAAAATTATCCACAAATGAGGATTTCCATTTCCCCATGAAGAAAAAAAAAAAGAAAACTGGAATAGTTGGCAAGAGAAGGATATCAAAAAATAAAGAAAATATGTGGAAAGAGAAGGATATCAAAAGTGAACCTCTTCTTTCATATCAAATTTTTTGGTCGTGGGCTCTATGATGAAGGAGCAAACTTTGGCAGAATTCTCATTGTAGTCTTTGAAAACAAGACACAGGAATTTATTTACTGCATAGTCATCCACGCCATCACTGCAAACATAAAGCAGTTAGAGATAATTCATCTTCATAAATTGCAAAGAACTACATATCCCGAATAAACAAGTAATTAGGACTAAGCTGATACCTGTATGAAAGACTGCATAGCTTAGTATAAGTGCTATCATCCATTAGAAGATGGCAATATGCCAACCTTCCATCCCTTCCTGCACGTCCAGTCTCCTGCAAACACATTTAAATTTACAAGGTCAAGTGGATATCAGTTATTATTAAAAAACTATAATGATAATTACCTGAACATATTCTTCCAAGCTTTCAGGTAAACTATAATGAATCACCTGAAAGATAAACCACATTTAAGAAGGATTGTCACTTTAGGTCGCAAGACCAATAGATATTGCAGGTATCAAGACATAAAAGTGTAAGGCCATTGCATTGACAAATAATGCAGAAATGTCATTATATATATATATATATATATATATATATATGTATATATATCAGTGTTCGCAAAATCGAACCGAAACGGTTAACCAGACATGGGCCCGGAAGCGATTTAACCGGTCTAACCATTAAACCAGCCGATTCAACCGCTCTAACCGAGCAAGTCCCGAATGATCAAAAAAGTGTTAAAAAAATTTAAAAAGATAAAAAAAAAATCTACTAAAATATGAAAAGCATATAAAGAATGTGATTAAAACAAAACATACTCAAATGAAGTTGAAAATTATTGAAACAAATGGATTTTAACAAATCGATTTGTGCCTAGGGGTATTTTTAAAATTTTCTGAAAAAGATGGGAAAATATAAAAGTGAGTATCAATGACCACAATTTTTTTTAATCTTTACCATAATGTAAATAATATTAAAACAGTCTTCTTTTAAAAGAAAATGAAAAAAAATTAAATTATATACAATATAGACCATTCCTTTTGTAAATACGTAGTAAATGACATATTGGTTAATAGATGTAATAGGCAACTAAATAGCATATGGTGCATTGGTTAGTGGGTTTAATAACAAATTATTTCTTTACAAGAACTTTCAAGTTCGATTCATGTGGGCAAGTAAATTTTTTGAACTTCTTACCAATGTAATGAATTCTTAGAATTGTTAAAATGAACCACACAAATGTTTAAAAAGAAAACCGCTGATGGCAGGATTCGAACCGCGGTTCATATAAAGCATAGTCGCCAGCGCTAACCAATACACCATTCTAAAATATTTGATATAAATGTGAAGTAGTATTCTATTTAAACTTTTAAGAAATCGGTTGATCACCAAAACCGCCCAAAACATTCCGATCTAACCAGGCGATTAACGGTTAGATTGGTCGACCGGTTTTGCAAACACTGATATATATATATATATATATATGGACAGACAGAGAGAGACCAGAAGTTCTATGTCATATTTATACATATCACACTATTATGTAATTAAGAATGGAAAAGAAAAATAGAAACTAGAGTCAGACATTGACATACCGCTCCCACGTCACTCTTATTCAGACCCATGCCAAATGCCACGGTTGCTACTACCTTTCATATAAAATAAAGCGAAAAATTAATTAATAATTATGACTTCAATAATAGCACAAAAGAAGAAAATAAGATCGTGTACAATAGTATATGACAGGTAAAGTCCTTTTGAAGTACCTTTCAGTTAGAGGAAAAAAAAAGTTATAAAGAAATAATGTGTAAATAATCATATTGCACTATAATACTCTTTTCCCAAAAAAAAACAAAAGTTATATCAATGATGCTGAACTATGTACAACAATTCAAAAAATAATTGGATACTCTTACCACTTTTATCTTGTTGGAACAAAATAATTCTTGTACACGATTCCGGTCTTTTGTAGGAATGCCACTGTGGTAGCTCTACAAACACACAAACACAGAGACCTCAGGAGGCTATTTTCATATTTCAGCATGTAAGTTATTGTTTCTGTAGTCGAGAAAGATATACAATTAGAAATACCAACCTTTGCCAAGATGTTGTTATCACAAAGGAACTTGCTAACCATATCTGTTTCAAACTGCAAAAAGTCAACCAAACCGAGTATTTGTGAAAATTGACAAGAAATTCCAAATCTTAACATTTTGCGAGGAGGAAAGAAACAAATGGATAGTAAACATCAACATGTTTGAAGTGAGATATTACACAGAAGTTATAAGCACTAAGATAGTTATGTTTTTCCATGCAAGCTCAATCATAACCCAATCTATACTCGAGTGACGAGCAATATGATGCCGTATCCAGAAAAAAATTTCTCAAAGAGGATCTTCTATTTTACGTAAGTGTTCACCACAATAGATAGGCTCCCCCAAAGTGTTGTCCTTACCCAGAGGCAAAACTGTCCAAGATTTGGGGAAGACTATTTAACTTGGTAAATTTGATTGGACCATGTATGTTCCACCATGGGAGAACAACACTCCATGAGAACATCAAGAAGTAGTGATGAAGGATTAAAATTTGACTTTTTGTTAGGATGTCTTTCAAGTCTCCAATGACTAAGTGTTTTCTTTGAGTGAAAAAACAAATAGCTTATTATCTTGCACATGTAATGTTTATGGTAGGAACAAATGGTATGGGCCCAAGGTTGGAGAGACAACAGAAAGAGGAAATAAGAAAACTTAAATAAAGAATGGTCATAGCAAGCTCAATCCAAATGCCATATATGCTGCAAACTAGGCTGGTCTTTCACAAAGAAAATTGAGCACCATCGATACTGGAGCTGGCAACACAACAATTTAAACCTAGGCTGGTCAATCAAAGAATGGAAATAGTACATACTTGAAATTTGCAGTAAACAATGATGCTTTGAAGATCAGCAAAGGGGGAAGACTTGATCAACTTTAACAGATCCTTCAACCTACAAAATTTCCAATCCACATCTAAATAGTGCATCATGGTTTTGCAAGGATATACCACTTTTGCATATGTAGTAAACATGCTTAACATACATATGCCACAAATCCAACCAGTAGTTAGAAGTTACCTGTTTCCACTGAAAGTTACAGAGAGCTGCAAATTTTCCCTCACATGAGAAGCTTGGATAAGATTGATTGGAGAAATATCCAGAGAATCCGTAATAGATCGCAAAGTTCTAACTGTTGCTGTCGCAGTCATAGCAAGGATACATTCAACGTTAAGCTTACTTCGAAGAATGGAAGCCCGAAGCCTCAAGTATGAAGGCCGAAAATTATGAGACCTATGAAAAATCTTCATATTAGAGCATTGATAAAAACATCCTCAGATGCAATACAGAGAGGTAAAAAGCACAAGAATCACCAACAAATCAATCTTTCAGATAAAAGAAAAAGTGCTTCTTACTTAAATAACCCCTACGAACCAATTTTTTGAAAACTAGTCGGTCCAATCTTTTCCAATGAAGTTGAGGATAACGCTTGAAGTAATGCTGCTTGACATAATCAAACAAATAAAAAAAAGAAAAATAAAATGATGATGAAGAGAAAATAGGAGAAAGAAAAAACCTGGGGAAAATAGGAAATGAAAGGTAAATAGAGAAGAAAATTCATGTATGGATATATAGTAAGCCCTATTTTTCTCTCTGGTATTTGCAAATTTTTCCAATCCAATCAGACAATCTACTCTGATAAAAAAGAAAATGTTAAACAGAAACACACCCATGATGAAAGGAGATTCGACTCAAGAGAAACTTGATGAAAATAAATAAAATATATAGAGGGCCTCTTTCATAACCCCAATAAATGGGAAAGACCCAGGAGCACTCACCATTCGGAAAGACAATGTGCTTCATCAATCACGACCAGCGATATAGGAGGAAGATTGTGAAATATTGACACAAACACATCATTCAAAAAGCGTTCAGGTGAAACAAAAAGCACCTGTTGGAAAAAAATAACAAAGCAGTATGAATAAACTAACATCCATAACCTATGTGTCCAAAAAGTTGGAATAACAAAAGTCAGGAGATACATTTTGCACTACTCAAGTTGGGTTCTTTTTGGGGGGGAAAGCATTTCTCATAGAAGAATTAAGCTAGAAGGAAAAGCTATACTGATTCGGTATACTCTAAACTTTTTATTTGAGTTTCTTGTGACAAAGTGGTTCATTGCAAGTACTTATTTCCATTTCTCTCATAGAATCAACACTCAATATCCAAATTACTTGGTAAGCTACATTTCAACATCCTACTTGTATTTAGTAATCTCATGATTTCTTTCAACTAGAGACTACTTGAGAGGAAAAGTTTGCCACCTAATAGAACATATCAAGCACCTTTCCCAAGAAAAGAAAAGAGAACATGGGGCGCACAGTAACTAGGAAAGACAGGCAAAAATCGCACCAATCTAGTAGATCGTGCACAAAAATGAAGGGGAACCAAACTAGAAGGAAATGTACAGGTTATGCAATTTATATAATACCAGAAAAGAAAACCATGGTCATGGACAACTCCAGCTAAATGAAAGTTGGGTTTCAAAACAACAACTTTCCTACCAATAGACAACCTTTTAAGTTGAATCCAGTTTTAAAAGTCAAATATTAGCATTTCTAGAGTGACTAAATTCATCAACAACATGCTTCGTTTAAGCATAAGCATACAATCCATGTAAAAAAGCATTTCATTGTCATTTCAACAAAAAGACACCCTAAACCCCAAATGCTGTCACCTTCAAGTGGCCAGAGCAAAGTTTGTCCAAAACTTCAGATGCCTCTTTACTGTTCTGAAGAATATAAATACAGGTAAATCAATATAATATTTTATCAAATGTACTCAGAAAATCATAAAGATTACTGCAATCCCATGAACCCCACAAGAAACTAAAGGATGAGATAATTATAATGTGGGTTTACTTGATTGCTTGAGAGGAGCCCTCCAGGTATGGCAGGAGGTAGCTGATGTAGTTGATCAACCATCAGAGCAATTAAAGGGCTCACAACCAGAGTCACTCCTGGCAAAATCAAGGCCGGAAGCTGCATAACATTTGATTAATCAAAATCTCCAAAACTATCTCAAATGCAAACTATGTCAATGTCAGCAATTCAGAATGTGAGAGAGAGAGAGAGAGAGAGAGAGAGAATGTTAGTGCTACCATAATGATCCTCCATAACCAAAAGAGGCAGAATCGCGCATCCAACCACGAACCCAAAAAGTATCCCTTAAGTAGACCTTTTCTTTTTTTGAAGCCAGGAGAATGTTAATGAAATCAAACTAAAAGGATCAAAATAAACAACACTAGAAAGAGATACACAGCAGTGACACAACAATCTTAGAGAGAGAGAGAAATCTCAGTTAGTATCATAACATTTTTAAGATAGATAGAAAGATACCAAACTAGTAACATAACAATTTTCAATAGAAAAACAGATGCCCATTTGCTAATAATAATTCTAAAGAGAGTGATGTCCACTTGGTGATACAACTAGTTTGGAGAGAGATGCCTACCTGGTAACACAAGGATTTTCCAGACCCAGTCGGCTGCACAAGCATAACAGACTCTCGCTTGAGCACCCGTTTGATTGCCTCCAACTGCCACTCTCGAAATCCATCAAACCCATGAATTAGTTTCAGCAAACTGACAAGGTTCTCATCTGAAGGATTCTCCCTAACAGTAGATAAAATCTCATTAACCAATTCTCCATTAAAATCCACATCACCATTGCTTTGTAAAACCTCTTGCTCAAAAACCCCATCATCCTTGTCCTCCTTTCTCCTCCTCTTCCAAGTTTTGCGGTCACTCTTTCGAGAAAATCTCCTCTTCCCCTTGAATGAGAACTTCCCCCCTCCATTAATGTTAAGCTTCACAAAATTGCCACTATCTGAACATCTCTTCACCACTTTTTTGGGTGATATCACTGAAGAACTGATCAAATTTGGGTGAAATTTTGGAACTTTCTTGAATTTAGTGAAAGGCTTGAGATCAGAAGCTGAAACCACTGGATTTTCATCATCAATGGCAGGGTTTAGGCCAAGTTTCATAAACCGAGAAGAACCAGCAGCAGGAGAGAAATGGGTAGCTGAGATTATGCCGGTATTATCAATGGAAGCAGAAATGGATTGAAGTCCAGGTCTGTGGACTTTGATCGAAAAACCATCGAGATTCAAGAGATCAGGAGAGGTAAAGGGGATCTCAGTTGTGGTTTGAGCATTGAACGAAATTTTGCGTTTAGGATTGCGTTCAGGATTGCAGATTGCATCTGGTTTTGAGGAAGAAGCCCTGACCCTGGAATTTTTCGAAGGGCATGGAACCCTAAACTTAGACTTCTTTGAAGGGGATGGGACCCTAGTCCTGGAATTATTTGAAAGGGATGAAACCCTAGTGGTAGGTTTCTTTATGGGGGATAAAACCCTAACTCTAGAATTCTTCGAAGGAGAAACAACCCCGGTGTTAGGAATATTTGCATGGGATAAAACCCTAACCCTGGAATACTTTGAAGGTGGAGTTGCAGAGATGTGAGAACCACATGAATCAGAAGAGTCAGAGTCCATTTGAGAAAAATGGAGGGAGTTTTGCTCTCTGATTCAGTTTTATATGGAAAGCATTTTCCCGCCAAAAAGTTATGGCAAATTACTCAATCTGCCCGTACCATTTTTATTAATGGTGTGTTAGCGTGAGGTTGCAACCTTAAAACGTTAATGGTGTGCTTAGAGTAAGGTTGCAACCTTAAACAAGGTGTGAGAATCAATTTTTATCTTTAATTGTGAAATTTTGCCGTCGAAAATTCGTAGAATCGTGAGAGAATCAATTTTTATCTTTAATTATAAATTTTAAAATTTTTAAATGATTCAAATCAATCATATCTACATAAAATCTTAAAAATAGACGGTCCAGATAATGTTTTGCAATGTACCATTTCAAAAATTTGAAACCTCTTTTTTCTCTACATCTATACATTTGAATATCGAGATGAGCAGACAGATATTTTTTTACCATCGAAATAATACTTTTCGAAAAAATTTAGAAGTGCACCTTAATTCTACATTTTAATGTGTCAACCTTATATGAATTTTTTCTTTTAATTAAGTACTTGTAGCATTACACAAAATAACTGAAATTTACAATGTTTTGTTGAGACTAGATGACTCTTCGAGTTACACATTTTTTTCAAAATGTTTATGCAATAATATATATATATACAATCATCTCTAAAATCATAATTCCAAATAACTCCCCAAGTCACTCTTTCGAGTTAAATAAAAAAAGGGCATTTAACCTTGTCTTACCATTTTCTTATGGTCTAAAATACAAATTTTACTTCTTCTTTTTTGACACAATTTTTATGCAAACTAACCGGCATAAAATCACCACTATCCATGGAGATTTGCAGCATATCCTTGTAATCTTGACTGTTCAAATTGGTTAGAGAGTGGAGGTTTCATGTGGGTTAGTCCGCATGATTTATTTTATCTTTTATTTTTTTCTAATAACCTTACTTTGGAATTTAAGATGCTTTTTTAACCTACTCGTGTGGTTTACCTAAGAAGAGAGATATACGGGTTGGAAGAATGAAAGAATGGGGGTTTTTCTAGAGTTTCAATGAAATAGTCGGTATAAATAATAAAAATGATAAATATTGTAATTTGGACAATAAAATAGTGTTAATGGGGATTAAAAATTATTTCATTTAACTTAATCAGGCCCTATGGACTTTCCATAGTTCAGGAGGGCCCTTAGGGGATATATGCCTTTCTCCCCATAATTATTCCATCTATCATTAATAATTATTCCATCTGTCATTATGTTCGATACATACACCGATAATTTTCACCTAATTAGTTCAAACATTTCCTTCAAAAATAACAAGGAAAAATATGAATCAAGGGTCATAAACCTCCTACAAAATCATGGGTTAAAATATCTCAATTAGTATTGGAGAGTTTATTTTAAAATTCTCACCTCACTAGAGTGCCTCATCAAATACTATCTCGAAAAAACTCTACATTCGTTTGTTCAAAGTTGGGAATCTTGAAGAAGCAAGAGGTATTTCGTCATGTCATTTGCATGGAACATATTGGACATTGAGAACTTAAAGCCCGTTTGGATTCTTGGATTTTTCAATCATGGGAAAAGTCAATCCCATCAATGAGATTTTATGGAATTGAGATTTCCTATAAATGTCAATTATCTATTTGGATCTAGTGTTTGTAAAATCAAACAGTAATGGTTAACCGGACATGGGGTTGGGAGTGGTTTGAATCGGAACCCGACCGAGGACTAACCGGTCAAGTAGATTTTTTTTTTTTTTAAAATGTCTAAACCTCCTACAAAAAAAAAAAAAAAGGAAATATTTATATTAAGTGTATAATATCTTATAACATATAGTTATCTTACAAAAAAAAATTGAAACCACTTTTTATAAAATAATATTTGAATACTATGGTCCTATATATTAAAATATCTTAGAATATTTTTTGAAGACATTTTTGTCATGTAACATATTCTTCCAAGAATTAACATTCATCTCAAATCTTACATCGAAAACTTTATAGTTTTTTTCATATAAAAATCGCTCACATTAGGAATGAAAGTTTATGCACTGTTTTGCAAATAACAAAAGTAGTGTGATGCTACGGAAAGTTTATGCACTGTTTTGCAAATAACAAAAGTAGTGTGATGCTATAAAATCAAATAAAAATGCCAACAAATTAAGACAAGAAATGGAAAGGACCTCTTCCATATAGTTAGATAAAAGCATAATTAATACAATATTTTTTTACTCAAGTTAAATAAGGCATACTTCACAAAAAGTACATCTCATGATATGCAACAAAACTAAAAATCAACGCACTATATACTGATTTGTTCTATTGTTCTTATATGTATCTACGATATCCATATCAGAGTGTTGTGCATTGATTTTATCAAAAAATAAGAATAGTAGAACAAAAAATTTGATCAAAAAATATTTTTATTAAGCAAAATAGAAAAACACTTCCCATGTTTATCATAAAATATAATTTTATTAAAAAACTATAAGTTTATCAAAAATTTTAATATGCTCTCTCTCTCAGACTTAAATTTTGAGATAATCTCTCTCTAAATGTTTTGAGATATTTCTCTCTAAAAAAAATTAAATAGTTCCTCTCTCTAAAATTTATTATAGTTTATCTCTTTAATTTAAGATTTGAGATAGTTTATCTCTCTAAAAAATTAATATGGTCTCTCTAAAATTTTAAATTTGAGATAGTTTATCTCTAAAAAAATTGTATATTATTTCTCTTTTAAAAAATTTGTATATTTTATCTCTCTAAAATTTGATATAGTTTATCTCTCTAATATTTTAATATATTTTTTCTATTTAAAATTTGATATAGTTTATCTCTTTAAAATTTTAATTTTTTTTTGTTCTTCAATAACAAAAGGCACCCAAAAAGAAGGAGCCCAAAAATCCATACTCCTTCACCTTAACCCCTTTCTCAAAAGACGGAAATAATAAAAGCGTAAGTTTGGATATTGTGTGGTATACAAGTAAGGCGCGACTCTAGTTCTGGTGTTAAAAAGCTTATGATGACTTGAAAACAAATGTGTACCTGTAGCTGTAAAATTTAAACTTCTAAAAAGTGTTTAAATAAAGCAGATTTATAAATATTTGAAATATTAAAAATAAACGATTAAGATAATTTATTATAAGATGTATTATTTTTAAAACTTGAATTTCATTTTGTTATTTATATTCATACGTATAGAGATCGAGAAAATCAATTAGAAGAACGAGAAAATCAATTAGAAGGTTTTCCAACTCTAAAACACTAATTTCAAATGTTCATGATGTAACATATATTTTCCAGCATAAAAAAGCATATAACTCTATTTGGAATCACAATAGCATTTTTATGGCTTGGGCATGTATACTACCTCAGTGCTAGAAATCCTCGTGATAGCCTTAAAATATATTTTTAAACTTAATTATAACATTTAAAGCGAAAAAAATAGTAGAGACCGAGCATTTATATGAAAACTTGAAAAACATAAAAATTGACAATAAAAAAATATATTACAAGATGTACTATTTCCAAAACTTAATTTTTTTTTTTTTTCATATCTTTGCATATTGAGGTCGAGATGATCAGGATATTTAAGCATCAAAACATCATCTTCTAGTAAAATTTTTGAGGCGTGCTATAATTTGATTGTTTACAGCCTCGTACTTATATAAATTTTTTTAAAAAAATATAGTTAAATACATAAATATTTTAAGTTCGAAAGAAGTACATATAGAGTGGAGGCTCGCTCAACACTATCAAATTAAAGCCCACCCTAAAAATTTAACTAGAAATCCCCTCAAAAATTTTATTGGAAGAGGTTGTTTTAATGCTCGAATATCTTAAATTTAATAATCTTTAACTTCAAGATGTATGGACACGATAAAAACATAGGTTTCAATATTTTAAAATAGTAGATCTTGTTACCCATTTTTGATCCGTCAATTTTCAAGATTTTCTAATTTTTCGTAGATCTGTTTGATCTACGTTATTTTTTATTTTTGAAGCTTTAAATTTTTTAATTAAATAACTACAAATATTTGCACTTTTTCAGCATTGAAACCACTCGACACTATTTGAAGGTGCGTTTTACTTTTGATTGTTTAGAGCCCATAGTTTAGATTGTTTGATTTGTGATATCGTAGTCAATTGAATCTTCACTGCCTGATACTCTCTGTCTCTCTCTTCTCTCGCTTTTTTATTTGTTGTGAGTTAGGTGATTCGTAATTTGTGACTGTTCTAGATTTTGAATAATAACTATCGAAGGGAAATATTATCACACCAAATCTAGGAAATTTTTGATTATTTTGAGGAATTAATGCATTTGCATTGAACTCCTGATTGTAATATTGATCACTTTATTTGTGATCTGATTTCTGTTGAATACTGCATGATGAAGTTGTTCATCAGTTTTCATTGAATTCCTGTTTTTCTTTTATTTTCCCTCATTTTTTATTATATTTTCCCTCAAATTTTATTCTAATTTATATGCATTAAACGGCATTTTGAAAATGGCACGGTCTTTTCGGTGCTTCCATGGCACCCATGAGCCTCGAAGATGCAATTATTTTCCATCTCTCTCTGTACTCCTAGTTTTCTCAGTTTATTCGCCGTCTACCTGTTTTCTCCATTAATTTCTTTCCTATTTCAATGGTGATTAAAAAATGATGCAAGGCTTTCCTAACCTTCATTTGTTTTGGTTTATTCAAAGTAATTTTGTTTGTAGGGAAAATACTCATTGATCACAATTTATGGCGCCATAGGCAAAACCACACTACTACTTCAATTATGAGGCGAAGAGGTTCTTCCCTTTCATCAAAGGAGAAGAAAGTCCACTTTAATGAAGATCATCGAAAGACATCTTCATTCTACGCTTCTTCAAGGAAGGTCTTCCTTTTCTGCCTGGGCTTTAGGGCATTGAATTCTTTGCTCGTGCAGACCTACTTCAATCCCGATGAACACTGGCAAGCTCTTGAAGTAGCTCATCGGATTGTGTTTGGGTAACCTCTGAAACCTTAAAACTCTATTACAAATTCGTTAATTCCTTTTTTTCACTTCTATGTTATTTGTCTGTTTGCCTTTTATTTATTTTTAATAGAAACTAGTAGGGGCTTATAGCACTGAATAAGTAATCTCTTTTTTGTTTTTTTTGGTTCTTTGTCTTCTTTGTTGGTTTTTGGTTCTTGGAAAATCAGATACGGGCACCTGACGTGGGAATGGAAGGAGGGGATTCGAAGTTATCTTCATCCTCTGATGTTTGCTGTCCTTTATAAGCTCCTTGCATTCTTGAAACTAGACAGCCCATGGTTTATGGTAATGATTGTGAATTACAAAAATTTAGCCCTCTTTTCATGTCATCTAGTATCATTAAATAATGACCAAATGGCATTCAATTGCTATTCTAGAGGCACATTTTGTGGATTATCTTTGTGTTTCTAAATTTATGGAGAATATTTATTTGATGATGATAAATTACTTATATGCAAAATCTAGATGTGAAAACTATAGTTGAGGTTCAAACGTTTATCATGTAATTAACTGCCACTTGACTCTTAAATTTTTTTCTTCATTGTTATTTATGAAAAATGAAAGACTCTTCATTGGTTTATTCAGTAATAAGAGGGTGTGTGGCTTACCGTGAACAGTGTTATAGTTAGTACTTTGTGAGAATATTAGTTTAAACAACTGGTTAGAAACTAAACCTTTGCTGATTAGTTTCTTGCCACTCTTGAATTCCTTTTTTTTCCTAATATATTTAACTTCCCCTTGCTTTAACTCTACCATTGCCGGTCCCAAGCCCGGATGAGAAAGGAGGAGGGTTGTTTTGGGTTATTAGTCAGCATAAAACTTTTGCCACATCTCTATCATGAATCTCGATTCAATGTTATATGCTCATGCTAGTGTATTTCCTATACTGACAGAGGGTATGGCCCTTGATAGAGCATAATGGTAGAATATGATTTGTATACCAACCCCAAATTGTTGGGATAAGACTCAACAATGATGATGATGATGATGATGAACTTCTCTTTGCTTATAAGGCAGCTAGTTGCACCATTGGTGTAGGTGTTTTGGCTGTTCTTTTTAATCGTATTCTCTATTATCCATGTTCAGCAGTTGCTAAACGTGCACTGCATTTGTCTCTTTAATGTTTTGCTTTGCTCCTCAAAAGCAAAGGCCTTGATCTTTCCTGTTCAAGTTACTGCGTCTTGAAGACAAAAGCCTGTGAATGCTGATTGAAGAGTGGTAGGCACCCTTTTGGGTTGAACGGTGGGCTGCTTTAATTTCTCTAGAAAACTACGGCTCATGAAAGAAAGCTAATGGGGTGGAGTCGGTCACAATTTGGACACTTGAGACAAAAAAGATCTCATTGGTAACTGAGGTTAGGAGCTTTGATCCACTGGAACAGGAAAGGCATTTGTTGATACCGGAATAGAACCGTGAACACAAGCACGAATACCCCTCCAAGAAACTCTCAAGCAAGAGGAGATTTTTTGGAAACAAAGGTCAAGAATCAAGTGGCTGCCAGAGGGGATCAGAATACTGGCTTCTTTCACAAAATAGTGAACATTAAGAGGTGGATCGATATGATCACAAGCTTCCATTTGGAAGGAAGAACTGTAGAAGGCTACCATGAAGTTTCCAAAGCTGCAATATAGTATTCCAAAAGATTATTTACAGCCATATGATCGAGAAGGCCACAAACAAGTGACATCAATTATCATTAAGTCTCAGAACTAAGTGCATGAGACATGGAGTAACCATTTGAGGTGGACAAAATACAGCGAGCTATCTTCCATTTCGAGTGGGATAGAGCTCCAGGTGCTAACGGATATCCTTTAGCATTTTTCAGATCTTCTTTGATGTTATCATAGATGATTTCATTGGCGAAGTTAAAAGAAATAATTCACAAGGGGATGAATGCGACCTTCATTACATTAATTATGAGAAAAAGAATGGCGAGGAATTCAATGACTCCCTTTTGATCAGCCCAGTAGGCTGTACATGCAAAATTCTGATGTGGTTCGGGCAGCTAGACTTAGGGAAGTGCTTGACCAAATTATGTCACTATACCAGGAGGGTTCACCATGGGCTGAAAATTTTTGCATGGAAACCTAATAGTAAATCATTGCATTGAATGGAGATACTAACGAGGTCTAGTTTGCAAATTAAATCTGTAAAAGGCCTATGATCATGTAGATTGGGGCCTCCTTGGTCTTGTAGTTGATGGGTTTTGATTTTGGAGGAGGTGGATAGATGGATGCATGTCAAGTGCCTCCCTTTTGATCCTCGTCAATTGTGTGTGTTGTGGGTATTTCTTTGCCATCTTGGGCTTGAGATAAGGAGATCCATTCTTGCCATTCCTTTTCTTGATGATGGTAGACGTACTCAGTGGGATCTTTGATAACCCACTCCCATGGACTGTTTTATGCTTAGGGCGTGTTTGTTTGGGGGAAGGTTGTTTTTTGAAGGCAAATCCTTCCTCGTTACTATATCACTTTCGCATTTGACGTGTGGAAGTGATACAATGAAAATGCACTTCTATGTTATAATTTTGGGTCTCATACGAGAAGGTGTTTTTGGGCCATTCACATTATAAGATGGAGAAAATTGCCCTTTGCCCTACCTTGTCTCACAGAAACATTGTTGTAAACTCTGCAGAATTCAAAGAAACTCGGAAGCCCAAACTCCAAGCTCCTTTCATGGCACCCACAGTGACGACAATGAAATTCTCTCTATAAAAATGATAAAACCAAACCTTCCTCACAAAAAATGACAGAAGCCCAATTCATAGCTCTGGAAATTCCTCAAGCCCCACCTCCAATCTCCTCTAAGCTCTCCAAAGATACAATTACAAACCCACTTATCCACTCTGAGAATTCCTCAATGGAAATCAATAATTTTTATGCTATACTTGTTTAAAGACTAGCAAAATTGTAATTTAAATAAAGATTTAAGCTACTATAAAAAAGCATTGTACTAGTTTTCAACTGCTGATGTGTTATTATATCTTTTGTTGATAGAAAAAAAATGTGTTTTTCAAAAATGGAGTTCTTGTGCTTAACACCATAAAGCCAATATTAATTTAACTGTTATGTGGTTTATTTGTAGATGAAGGCTCCAAGACTTTTCCAATCGATATTTTCTTCAATTGGTGATCTTTACTTATACAGATTTTCACGTCGCTTATTTGGTGAAAGGATTGCACAGTGGGCTGTATCCTCTTTATGTAAAGATACGGTGTGACTTATTTGAACAGATTGATTTGCATTGCTTGGTTTTTATTGTTCGCATTCTTTGTTTTACTTAATTCACTTTCAGCTGTTTTGTCAGTTGTCAAACTGGTTTATGTTTTTCTGTATCACGAGGACTTTATCCAACAGCGTCGAGACAGTGTTAACTATAATGGGTCTATTCTACTGGCCATCTTTCAATAGTCATAGCCAGCAAGATGCAATGGCTTCAAGAAAGCTTGCTTTAATTATAGCAGCAGTAGCTTGTGCCATCCGGCCTACAAGTGGTATTCTATGGTTATATCTTGGTCTTGTGCATCTGTTTGAGACCCATGACAAAGTGAAATTCCTGTTTCTTGAAGTCTTTCCAATAGGGTAATTAATTAACCAAGCCAAAGTATCTTCCTCTTCATTCATATCACTTGTGTAATATGCCCACACATGTAAGGTTGTTTCTATCTATTTATAACCCTGTCATAGAATACAATGAGATGTCGTTCTATGGTGGTTTTGGGATCACATTCTGTCTGCTGAAGCCCTTTAAATGGAAATTGTACAAGCCTGTGCATTTGAAGAAATTTCTTATCATATATGTTGGTTAAACTACTTTTTCAAGTTAAAATTGACACTGCAACTTTGTCAGGAAACATGCTCCTTTGTATTTTACTTGAAAGCTCTGGTTGTTGGCCTGAACTTTATATGGCCTTAGATTTGTCTATATTATTGTAAGAAATACAAGGATTGCCTCCATTTTCTTCATTCTTTCTGATTTTAAGCAATCTGCAATACTCCTTATTGGATGATTGTATTGTGATCTTCATAAATTAAAGGAAGCCATGTCACCAGTACATTTTATATTCCTAGATGATTTTTTTACCTTGGTTTCAATTTTCTTCCATAACCCTGCAAGGTGTATGGATGAAATTTTATCATTGGATTTGGTATCTACAATGGGCATTTGTGTATATATGCCTGGTTTCCTGAGGCAATATGTATTGTTGGGTTGATGTTTTTTTATTGTAGCAGGGGTTTTGTGCTCATGATCACATATCTACTGGACTGGTATATGTATGGGGCGAGGACCTTTGTTCCACTCAATTTTCTAAAGTTTAATTTTCTTTCCTCTGGTGGGGATTATTACGGCACACACAAGTGGCACTGGTACTTCACACAGGGTTTCCTGGCAATGTTGTTCACTTTCTTACCTTTCTCAGCCATTGGAATTTGGAAGTCGAAGGAATGGAAGCTTTCTGGCCTTATTGCATGGGTTTTGGGACTCTATAGTTTCCTTGGTCATAAAGAATTCAGGTATGTGCAACTTTATTTAAATGTACTTTGTGAATGTATGGTTTCAGATATCTTTACAGTTGCTTTAGAGTGAAACATGGAATTTGTTGGTTGTTATTGGATGTGATGACAGGTTTGTGTTGCCAGTGCTACCATTGGCTTTGATCTTCTCTGGATATACATTAGCTGTGATGGAAATTCCTTCCGATGCAAAATTAAAAAGATCTCAAGACAAATCCCAAAAATCCTTCTGCCTTCGGGGTCCTTTGATACAGAAGGTGGTTGTCTTCATCTTGCTTCTAACAAATGTACCAATGGCCTTGTACATGAGCTTGGTTCATCAGGTGATTGCTGTTACTCATTTTCATCAATTGAATTTTACTCATATCTGTTTATTTCTTAGTTATTTACTTGTTTTTCTGTCTAATAATGCTAATGTTTTATCTCAACTATCACCTGTTTGCTGTTTGTTTGTTTGTTATTTCTTTGATTCTGGGTTTGCTTGTGCGCCCACGCTCACATGTGTGTGTGTGTGAGGGAGGGAGATACCTTCCCGCTCCTTGATGTGATAATTGTACTGCTAATGCTGTTTATCTTTGAAGCAAGTATCTCTCTCAAACTATAAGAAATTTATTTTGAAAAAACATATAGATTTCAGTTCAAATTTTCTTGAAACGCAGTGTATATTTTAAAAAGCCTCAGATTGCTTGATTCATGGTAAATGCCTGATAATGGAAGTTTTCACACTTGATTAGATACCCTGACAACTGAAAGGAGAGAGAGAGAGAGAGTACATTAATTTATAGGCTACTTCTGTACGATTTTTCCACCCCAATTTCTTGATGTTAGGTGTATCCTTTTTAGGTCAATTTTTGCACAAGACATCCTGTTGACCCTAGAAAATGTCCCCATGAGAAAAGGGTTGGGAAAAAAGACCCTTAAAATGTGGTTTTATGTGATTAGAGGAATTGTGGCAGGATTAGCTGTCTATTTGGAGAACTAATATGTCTATGGTTAGATGTGCCTTTTTTTTTTCTTTTGAATTTGCGTATCTAGTGTTTTTAGGTTGAGCCCCATATTTGGGGGGAAACAAATTAAAAAAAGGGATTGTGAACTTAGGGGGTGAGCTAGTATTTGCTATTGGAGGGTTATTCCATTCGGGAATCAGGACTGGAAACAAAGCATCAATCATATAAAAAATGCCTGGACATCTTACAATTTTTTATACTGAATGGACTTAGTAAAATCCTTGGAATAACCTGCTTCACTAATCTATCCTTCTATCACGTTCACTGTTCTAATTTGAGAAAGAGTGAGAGTGTGTCCTCATATCTGGAGTAATATGGACTGGTAGTCATCCATAATGGAGTTTAAGTTTTTCAGGCCATAATTTTCAATTTTGATTTTTTTCAGTAGTCATATACCTCAAAAATTTCACCGCTCAACTGGGAGGTGATGCTAATGGAGACGAGATAATTGATCTCTGGTTGATGTCATTTTATAGTAGAGATAATTGTAAATGATACTTCCTATGCGTTTTAATGTATGGTTTGTGGTAGTCAGAGAGGAAGCGAAGATGTGATGGCCTTCTTAGCCAAGGAGGCAGTGGAGGGTAAGGTTGCCAGCACTATTTTCTTGATGCCATGCCATTCTACACCTTATTACTCCACACTCCACCATAATTTGCCCATGCACTTTTTGGACTGTTCCCCTAGGTGAGAATCGCCAAGCTCCTTTTACATCATCCTCTGATTGACTTTGTTATATCCAGCAGTGCATATCCTAACTACTTTTGGATTGTTATTGTAGAGTTAGTTGAGATTTGACTCTTGCATGTATGTCATCATCTTTGACATACAACCATTGGACACCTACATGCAATATACGTCACAGCTTTTCACTATATGAATGTTGTGTTAAGTAACCACTCGTTTATTTTCTGATCCATATGAGAATTCTGAACAAAATTACTTCCTCCTTGCAGATGGTTATTTGGAAGGCATTAAGAAACTATATGAGCATTCTATCAAAAAGGAAGGGAAAAAAAAACAGGAGGAAAAAAGGGGTCATAAATTGTAGCCACTTGGCTGCTCGTATTATGCATTTGGCAAAGTCAAGGATAGAAAGTATCGTTTTCAATAAAAATCTTATATTTAATGAGAAATGTAACAAGCCATATATAGGAAAATCAATTCCTTTCTTCCTAAAAGTGGTGGTAAATTTCTATAATTGCTTTCAGGCATATGAAGATAAGCATTGCTGTCAAACTAATGTTCGAAGTAACTCCTCGTGAAGACGAATGCTTAATTTTGTTAAACCTTGAGTTTTGGATATGTCGGATAGAAAATCTCAGATGTGTGTATGCATGTGTGAGTGCATGCTTGTGTGTGTGTGTGCTTGTGTGTGTGCATGAGTGCCTACTTGATCGTTTGTGTATGAAAATCTAAACCTCAGGATCTGAACCATTTTGAAGGGCTAGGGGCTTCCCACTGAATGCTGTCAATGAATGTTTATTTTTCTTTGCAATGATGAAGGCATCTTTCCTTTCCTTTCACAGGATTTTCCATAGTAAAAACAACGGAAGTCCTAGTGAACATGTAAACAGTATATTTGTCGAATCTTGAGTCTGATAAATTAACTAGAAACTTAGCCATATATGTCATGTCAGGTTTGTGTGTTCGCATAACAAATTCTATAACCCCAGGACCAGAACTATTTCGTAAGGCTTTCCCATTGGAAGTTGTGAACTAATCTATATATTCTTCTTTGCAGCAATGAGAAAGGGTATGTTGATGAGTCAGAGCAATTTGCATCGGACCCAGCTGGCTTCGCATCAAACCTGCTTCGAAATTTATCTTCTCCAAGTCATGTGGTGCTCTTCGATTCTCATGAGATGCATTTGGCTCCAATTCTATCGTTACATTCCTACAGGCTGGTACTAATTCCTCGTTTTTTCTTAAGTTTTGGTTCCTTTTTAAGAATTTCATGGCTGTTATGAAAGTCACCGTTCCTTTACATACTGGTGTTGCAATCATCAATTAACAGATCAAGAGGCTCTTTCATGCACATTTTAAAGTTGACCGAGAGCTCCAAGCATCTGTCCTGATTTATGCAAGGGAAGTCCAGTGATTGAGGGCAGCCCAGATGGATAATTTCAAGTTTAGGGCCAGTTCAAATGGGCCATTTGACAAATTCCCATGTCTCCTCCTGCTCACTTGAGATAGGGAAAAAAAAGGATTTCTTCATTAAGTGGGGCAGAGATGGTGGCCCTTTTCGAGTAAGCAGAGCAGAGAATCAGGACTTCTGATTGCTGGTGTGAACCAAAATTTCCCTTTTCACTGTACCACATAAGTGGGTAAGAGGGAATGAAAAATTTCAAGTGGCCCGTCCAAATAGCCTGAAGTAGTGCTCAAGTTTAAATATACCTCAGCAGCTACCGTTATCTATTGGATAACATATTTTCCATCGAAATATTTAATGATATTTGTACTCCTGTTACGAACCCTCTGATTAATGTATTGCCCCAAATCATTTGGGAACGGTTTGATATTCTTGGGACCTCCTTGGTTTGTTCATATGAGGTTTTGAGACATTTTAATGATTCTAGCATTTTTGTTCTCTATGATTTATTACTCAGAAATTTTAAATATCATTCCCAGGAAAATGATTGGCTTAGTCTCACACATTGTTAGCTAAACTGATTACTCTTTTGCTTTTCTGAATGTTTTTTCTCCTAGGTTTTGCATTAGAAAAAATTACTGTTATACCACATGAGGTGAAAATGGAATGTTGGAGGATATCCTTATGTAATTGCTGATGTCAAATTTTTTTGTAAAATAGGTGAGAAAGGAGGAGAGGGAAATCCTTCGATAGTTTTTTAGGGAAATATGATGCGCCTTAAAGAAAAAAATTGAGAGGCCAAAGCGAAATAAATAAAAAAATTTGGGGGGGCATACAATATTTTCCCTATTTGAAAAGAAAAGAATAAATTTTCTGGAGGTTAATTTTGTATGGCTACTTAATTAAGTGCCAAGAGATTTTTAGATGATCTCAAATTCTCTAAATCTAAAAACTACTCTATTGTTTAAGAACTTGATATGATGTTGACAAATTTAGATAGGACTGCAAAATTGGATCATTGAATGGAAGTTAATGTACTTTGGCTGAAATTTAAACCAGTATGCTACATAACACTCAATAAACCAAATAACTTGCCAAATTGTTATTATTATTACTATTATTAATATAACTATTATTATTTTAAATTTTCTCTTAGCCAAACCTATTGTCATGCACATACTTATCAAGCCCTTTTTTTTTTTCTTTTTCTTTTGTTTCTCTTTCCTTTCATTTGAACTATCAAAACTATCGCATTACTTCTCTTAGTACAGTGTTGTAGTTTTTTCTCAGCGGTTATGTCCTTTATTTGTAAGGCTTCTCTCTCTCTCTATATATATATATATGGGAAACGTTTATATAGAGCCGAGGCTCTAAAAGCCT